TAAAATTCATGTTTCATTTGTACATATATACGCATATTTACTGTCATCAATATTTAGGTAAAAAATCTCATATACGTATACTTAAGCCTTTGCTCGCACCGATCAAATTTTCCAGATTTATTCTCACACTCACAAAAATCAAAGGAGATGTCCTTCTTATTGGAAAAATTGACATAAATACGCTCACTTTTTGAAAAAATCAACAGAACTCAAAAAAAAAAAGAAAAACAAAAACGTCTTACACTTGAAAATTTCAACATATATAAATACCCTCCCTTAGCAATTCGACTACATCACGCCCCCGCATTTTGTTTCACCTACGCATCCCCCTCAGCGAAATGGCAGCCCGTATATTAGGGCATGTTTGGTTTGCTTAAAAGGCCCATGGAAACCCATTTTTGGGCATGACATCAAGTCCACCTAGGATTTTTTTTCTTACGATGTGGGGAAATTAGGTGAAAACACCTCCACCTTAGTTTTTTTTCCTCTCCGGTTTCCATCCCCAACAGAGAGAAATTGAAGGAAAACCCTAGCCACCTCTGACAAGTTCTCTCTGGTTTCTCTCGTTGTTTTTTTTTTAAACGCTAGAGTTACCTTCCTTGCCTCTCTCTCCCCGCCAGAAATCTCCTACGACCTTCTTCGTTACTGCTTTCTTGTTCGCCGTCTTTGTCTTTTGCCTTATTCGTCGGCTTCTTCGTCGCTGATAATTGCTCGTGAGTTCCTAAACTTTAATACTTTTCTTTAAATTATCTATTTTGTGGTTAGGGTGAGAATGGATTGTGTTGGATTAGAAGAGGAAGAAGGGGGCTATGATGATTATTTGGAGTATAGATCACTTGTTTCGTCGCTGATAATTGTCTTTCATCTTATTCGTCAGCTTCTTCGTCGTTGATAATTATTTTTTTACCTGAAATTACTTCTTTGCTTAGGATTATTCCTGAATTGGCTTGATTGAGGAAGAAGATGGCTTATTCCTGAATTGTTTTTTGGTTTGTGTAGGTGTAAATTTTGATCTCCCGAAAACAGGGATTTCATTCGTATTGATAAGAACAGCTTATTACAAACTAATAATCAAATGTTTACAACAGAAGCGGAGGGAATGCCCTCCTTGTTTAACGTGGGTTCCTCGGTGGCGATAGGACGCCTCGCTCGGTGCTCGTGCCGAGTCTGCTTCCCTTGGACGATCCGATCGAAGTTGCTGCCGGAGCTTCAGTTCTCAAATAAGGGAGCCTTTGGCAAAAGTCCAGGTTCAACCTTTGGGAGATTAGCCAGCAGAATATGCAACAGTCAATCCCCCCTTTCATGCTGGCTGAAGATGGGTTTTAATAGGCAAGGGATGGCATGGACCATCCCTTGATTCGTGGGATCTGAAGATGGGTTTTAATAGGCAAGGGATGGCATGGACCATCCCTTGATTCGTGGGATTTGACCACTAAAAGAGGTGAGGGAGCCAACCGTCCTAGCTGTAGGATGTGACCACTTAGGGGGTCCTGTCAGCCGCCCTACTCTTGTTAGGTGAGGAGCGCCATGCTTTCTCCCTTGATTCGTGGGATTTGACCACTGATGTAAGGGTGAGGGAGCCAGCCACCCTAGCTGTGGGATGTGACCACTTATGGGGTCCTGTCAGCCGCCCTATTCTTGCTAGGTGAGGAGCGTCCCTAGCTGTGGGATGTGACCACTTATGGGGTCCTGTCAGCCGCCCTATTCTTGCTAGGTGAGGAGCGTCATGCTTTCTCCCTTGATTCGTGGGATTCAGCCGCCCTATTCTTGCTAGGTGAGGAGCGTCATGCTTTCTCCCTTGATTCGTGGGATTTGACCACTGACGTGACTATCACCATACTCTAAGTGGGCAGCTGACAATGAGCTGGCGAGTCTGCAGGCGGACTTCGGTCTGCAGGCGAGCTTGAGACTGCAGGCAGACTTGGGTCTGCAGACGAGCTGGGTCTGCAGGCGAGCTGGGTCTGCAGGCGAGCTTGGGACTACAGGCGGACCTGGGTTTGCAGGCGAGCTTGCAGGAGAGCTGGGTCTGCAGGCGAGCTTGTGACTGTAGGCAAACTTGGGTCTGCAGGCGAGCTGGGTCTAAAGGCGAGCTTGTGACTGCAGTCAAACTTAGGTCTGCAGGTGGCTTGCAAGCGAACTGGGTGTGCAGGCGAGCTCGGGTGTGCAAGCAGACTTGGGGCTTGATCGTGCAGGCGAAATTCGAGCTGCAGGCGAGCTCCTGAGCATGGATCGAAGAATAGGCCGTAACTTTCAAACCGTAAGTCGGAATTGGACGAATTATATATGAAAAGCGCCTATCTCGACGAGACGGAGCCATCCGAACCAAGCCAAAGGCTTTGGTTCGCTTCCTCCGTTTTGCCAAATTCCTTACGGTTTGGGAGATATCTGTGTTTTCCCCATTTTTATCAGTGTTTTTCCCCTTTTTGCTATTTCGGGCGAGGTTTTAGCAGTTTTGTTCTGAACTTCTCTGATAAGGATTTAAAGGCAATTTTTATTGCCTACAGTTTGATGTTAAGATCTGAAACGCCAGTGTTGCCTGAATTTTTGCTTCTTACAAATTTCTTGTTTACAACTTCCATAATAGCCACATAGTAGTGGATTGATTCATTGTGCTTTACCTTTATCTTTGAAGTTATCATTGTCTTCTACATCTCATGTTTTTGATAGTTCATCTTAAGTGGAGGAATTTCTAGTCTTATAGCTGGAGCAGAGGGGTTACTTAATTGCATGCTTGTTGATAGTTCATCTTATATTGTTGATAATCTCATATTAGGATTATAAGATTCTCCAGGATGCATTGTCTAGACCACAACCACATGGCTTGAAAGTCTATGATGGTAATTATATACAATTTTGGCTTAAAACATTTTAATTTTAATATGCAAACTTGACTTCCTTAATAAAATTTTTAATAAAATTGTAGGCAAATATTATCTGTGTGATGCTGGGTACCCCACCATACAAGGTTTCATCTCTCCATACCGAGTGTTCTATATCATTTGAAAGTCTATGGTGGTAATTATATAAAAATTTAACTTAAAACATTTTAATTTTAATATGCAAACTTGACTTCCTTAATAATTTTCTTAATAAAATTATAGGCAAATACTATCAGTGTGATGCTAGGTACCCCACCATGCCAGGTTTTATCTCTCCATACCGAGGTATTCCATATCATTTGAAAGAACATTCAGGTAAAACACCTACTGTTGTGGGTTATTAAGATATTCAGTTGTCATGCCATGAGTTTACATTGGTGATTTTTTTACTTTTAGGCTATGATGATTGTAAAATTTTCTGAGATCAGCAACCTATAATGTCTATTAATGTTACACTAGATAGCTAACAATGATGATATTGATCAAATTCTGAGCCCTTAGCCATAATTTGCATATACATGTGGCTGGTTTATTTTATGTGATGTCAACAAATGTTTTCAAATGATTTTTTAATCATAAAGTTCATTCAAATTTGAACATGCATAAATTATCAAAGTAGTACACGATAATGATTTTTTAATCATAAAGTTCATTCAAATTTGAACATGCATAAATTATCAAAGTAGTACACGATAATAACAAAGTAGTACATATCCAGGCTTTCATTTTAGCGATTTTAAATAGATTTCTAGACCACGATGCTCTCTAATACATTCCTTACTCAGATTGGCAATAGCTTCATTGTAACCAACTTTATGGGCGTGTGTTAGGAGTTGATTTTTGTTGCAAAAAATGATGGGTATATCTTTGCAGTAGGGACCGCCTAATTCCCATCTTGGTCTATAACTTTTATAGCATTAGATCTTAGCATAATTTCTGCTAATTCCATGATATCCAACATTTCATCTTGCTCTCGATCAGCATCTATATAGGCAATCCATTCTTCAAAGGTTTGTTTATGTTTGGTAATCCTTCCACGTTGATAAAAAAACATAGTAAATTGACATTAAAATAAACAGCTCCATTATTTATCATAAAATTTTTAAACATTCTTACCTTTGATGATGGTGCAAATGAAGATTTACCAATATATTTATTTTTCTTACTCATATTTTTTCGTGGTTAGAATTTGGTATGCGAACATTGTGTTTTATAGATGTATACGGACTGCTACGTTTACTCGGTGGTTGGATGTTGAATCTCACAATATTTATTTGGATCAATAAATATTCTACTTGTATTGCCCATGGTTTTGAAACCTAACTGGTTTTGTTTCTTATAGTTGACTCAACTACTCAGTCTCCATTACGTACTTGTTTGGTATTTCCAGGTTTGAGGCGATTCTCCATGTTATACATTATGACTAATCAGGTTTGTTATATTTTTTTTACAGGTTTCATAAGATTTTTTTGCTAATTCAGTTACGTATTTCATAAAATTATGAATAATCAGGTTATTATAGGTTTCGTTTATTTTTTTATGTCAAACAGGTTTCATGTGATTTTTTCATGTAAAATCAGGTATGTAGTGCATAACAATTAATCATATTATTAAATGTTTCTTAATGATTTTTATGTCAAACATATATTTATATGAATTCGGTATTTACTGTATTTCATGTTGCATTCACACCTTTATTTTACTAAGACTACCTCTCATAACGATCACAAATAAATTTATATTTAGTGGGATGTAAACTTATCATGGTGACCGTATATACTTTTTCCTACACACTTCTATACCAACCAAACACAAGAAAAGTGAAAAATGTCTAATCAACAAAAGTTTTTTTTTCTAATACCAACCAAACATAAGAAAAATGATATATATTGGTTTCCCACAATGTTTTATGTGTGAACCAAACCTAAACAATTTATTTCTTGAAAAAGTTTAGAAAATTCAAAACTTGAGTTTTTTTATATGAAATTATATTTTCCAATGAGTGTTGCTATATGGACCCAAAAATTGGGACATGTGAGGTGTAAACTCCACATGTCCCACTACATGTCCCCCCTTTTTTGGGTCCTTTTAGCATTTTCCTTTCCCAATATCTATCTTGGAATTTGGTTGTCATAAATGTATTGATTTCTTTTGGTGATACTCTTTTTTATGCATTCCGGAACATGATTTACCAGTACAAAACTTAATATTGAAAGTGCTAATGTTTATAAGTAATTTACCTGAACATTGTTACTTTAGTTAATTATGAAGAAAATATCCAACCATATATTGGTTCTTTGTTATATTGGAGCTTTGTCCTATGATATTTATATAGGACATTGAAGCATTTGGAGCAGGTTAAGGACTTCACTCCATGTGAGAGCAGCATCTACGCGTTGATAGGGAAGATTCACAAGAGGCTTAATATGCATGCTAAGGACATGTTCTACTTTGGTATTGCATTGGACCTGAAGCCTCCAGCAGCTGATGTTGCTGCTATCAAGGTACTGCATTCAGATTTTTCTGTATGGTCTGTCCTTTCCCTTTATTATTTCCATTTCTTATTTCAGATGCCTAAGGTTATCTGAAATGTTGAGATCTATTAAGTTTTAAATTTATTCACGTACTTGTATGGACTAAACTATTTTCAAGTCCAAGTTAGATAAAAACTATAGGGTTTAATATGGATTTAATCATCTTCTCGTCTTTTTTTTTTAGAGAAAAAGAAGGCAAGGTGACCTATTCATTGAAAATATATTAAAATATAAAAAATTTACAAGAGGGATGCGAACAGAACTTAAAAAGTCCCATATCCAAAAGTTGATATAACAGTTATAACAGGATGGGGAGCGAACAAATTGTCGTCGTCAATCACCACAAGCTAGGATAATACAGTTGATAGTTCCCCCTTTATTTAGACATGGAATTTTGAAGCCTTCAAACAAAAGCATCACCTGAACATCAGTCATCATAATACTTTACAGAAAAAAACCAAATAAAGCAAAAAGAAGAAGAAGAAGAAGAAGAAGCAAGGCTTAAATTGTATTGGCCGCCGCTAAACCTTCTTCACCCTTTCTACAATTAGCAATTATTTTTTAGTTTCCCCCCTTAACTTCGAAGAGCCATGATGTAGAAGACTATCATTTACTACCAAAAAGACTAAAAATTGCAAACAATTAATAATCATTTTTGAGCTTACCCCCTTAACTTCAAAGAGCCATGATGTAGAATTCTCTCATTTACAACTAATAAGGGGGTGATAGAGTATGATTCTGGACATTTTAGCCAATTATGGACACATGATTAAGCAAATTATGGGGTTTATAAAATACATTCTACTGTAGAAACAATGAAACTAAGGCAGTAAGCTATTCAAGGAATTAATTCTTCATCATTAAATGCCTGTATTTGTTGTGCTTTTTTATTTATGACCTATTAACATTTATATATAAATTTCAGTCTGCGATGGAGAAATTGCATCTCCCAGATGAATTGGAGGACAACTTATAGATTCATTTCCTCAAAACTCAGAAGGTGCAGCAAGGGCTCAATTGGCTTGGCCGCATGCTTGGGCTTTCGGACTATCTTCTGGAAAGCAGACTTTCGAGATACTATTGAAGACAGCCCATTCTTGAAGAAAGCGGCGGCTAACCTCTAACATTGTATTACTCGTCTCAAATGTAACATTAATCATTCAGTTTAGTAGCTTTAGTGAGTCATCGAGTGAAACATTTGTACTGAGAGCATGACTGATAATGCATGTATAATGTTTGGACGCTTACATCACAGTGAAAGGAACTGCATAAATACAGAGGAAAACAGTGCATTGTTGGTAGATGATGGGTGTTTGCCTTCTTAACTTGTAATTCTTTTACATTCTTATAAGTTTCTCTCAAACGGTCAAATGTGTTCAATTTAATTTAAATCTAATCGGTATTGTTTTCTGCAACGAGAATTCACTTATGATAAATTAATGTGAGCCCTTAACCAGCTTACAAATTTGCATTGGCCCCCCATCAATCAATAAATGTAATTTAATTGTTCAAATGTTGAATGTTCAGATTATTTCTATATGTTTTATCCATTACTTACATTCCATAATTTTATAACAAAACATTATAAATAAAAGTATAAATTTAAAACAAAAAATAAAAACTTTACTACGTGCATTGCACGTGCAATCCAACTAGTATGTGAAAAGAACCAAACAGCCCCTTAGCGGAGAGGGAATTTGATTTGGGCTCCGGATACGGACACGGATCTTGATCCGAATCCATTTGCAGCTACCCGATCCACATAACCTAGCGGGTCCAACGAACTTCCTCGCCCTTTAACCCTCTCTCCCTCCTCTCTCTCTCTCTCTCTCTCTCTAAAAACAATATGCCAATCTCGACCTCCAAAGATCTCCACCCTCCTTTAATTTCTCTCTCTAGACCGCGACCCTCCACCCAATCTCAATTCTCCCCCAACCCTAGAATTAAAAGTCTCAGCTTTCGCTCGATCCCCCCTATGCTTGCGGGTCGGGTCGGAATCGAGCCGTCTCTCTCGCCCGTTTCCATGGGTGGTGATTCCAAGAAGAGAAGAGGGATCACCAGATCGGCGTCCGGCGACGGCGCCGACGCGTCGGAGAGGCTGATGACGCTGCGACGGTGCTGACGCTGTGCCGGGTCGCCCGCCGCTGCGCTCCTCGTGAGCAGTAGGTCTAATTTGATCCCTTCTGCTATCTAGGGTTTCAATTTGGTGCGTTGGTGCTTTTCAGATCTTAGATTGTTTTAAAGGAGGAGATTTTGTTACGGCTTTCGCGTAAATTTCCCCAGTTTTTTTGGTTAAAGTGAAATTCTTGAAAATTCGGAAATAGTTTGGACAGAATTCAGGAGTGCATGCTATACGCATCTTTCATATTTCTATACTAATTGTTGAAGAGTAACCCGAATCAATTCGAGCTCCTGCGGCCCCATTGCATGATGGGTTTTTAGAAAAGAGGAATTTTTTGATCAATTTGTGATGTTCATCAATAACCTGAGATTAATAAGCATATTGTTAGGTGTGTAAGTTGATTCTTTTTGCCGTACAAAATTGTTTGCTATTTTTATTATATAACTTGTGAATTCCACGATTCTAGCACCATGAATTTTGTGTGATGCGTCAGTCATGTAAGATAACTTCTCAAAGAAAACATCCTCAGAGGAGGAAAGTCGAACGATGGAAAGCTTCTTCGTAATTATTTAATTATTTAATTTTCTCGAGCTTCACCCTTTATCTTTTTTGCTAAATTAAGAAGAGAAAATAGTGTCATAGCATCACACACTTCAACTTTCTCCATCAAGTTTACATATGCCAGTTAGACTTGGGTTTGAAAATTTCAGTTCCAGAAATAAAAAATTTGACGTGATTATTCTAATAAATTATATTTGATTGTTATGGTAAATGATTGTTTCTTACAAATCCCTTATGCTATACTTATCTTGTACACAAGAATTATCTTCCATGCATCTGTTATGCCTAGGTGATGCATGATGATTATTTTTCTAAGTAACTAAATTTAGATGCCTTTTTTATCTAAAGATAATGTTTGCACTTGCAAGGCTGACATGCACATTTTTTTCGTCAATAGCTTTTTACCATAATGGTTGGTGGGCAACAACTGCTACTACGGCAATTTTTATTGCTGCAGCAATAACAGACTGGCTCGATGGCTATCTTGCTAGAAAGGTGTGTAAAATTAGCATTTTAATGTACCATTCATATAGGAAAATGCATCCCATTCCAATTTACATTAAATTATAATGACGTGATTTTTTTCCATTTCAGATGCAGTTAGGAACAATTTTTGGAGCATTTTTAGACCCTGTAGCTGATAAGGTCTTCACTTTCTTTTATTCAGCTATTAAGGCTTTCATCTAAGTTCCATAGTAATCCAATGGTTTCATCTAAGTTTCATAGTAGCTCACATGAACTTTTATGATGATTGAATGCAGCTGATGGTTGCTGCCGCATTAATATTGTTATGCACTAAGCCTGTGGAAGTCTCTGTGTTCGGACAAGTGAATTGGCTTTTGACTGCACCTTCAATTGCTATCATTGGTAGAGAGGTGAACACTAACTCATAAACATTCTTCAATTTAACTTGGTAGAAAGGTTGGAAAATTTTCTTGTTCCATTCAGCTATAATTGAGGGGTCATCGAGTAATGGACAAATCTTTGAAATAGACCACTTTTAAAACTTAATTAGAAAAATAGACTGAAAAAGTATTTAATTAGCAAAGTAGACCATTTTTGCTAAAACTTGGTCTATTTTGCTAATTAAATGTCAAATTTGGTCTATTTCAAAATTTTATCAATTTCAAAACTATTTTGTTCATAGAAAGTTATAAACCTGATTATATATATAAATTGTGAAAAAGTTACATTTGATGCAATTATAATTTTCTATATAATTGTAAAAAGTAAGTTTCCAAAAAAAAAAGACTTGGAGTAAATTTAGTTGTGAATTGTTCTTTAGAAAGTGTTGTGTTGTAGTTAACAAATGTATAGTATAATAAAACGAATTTCCATTGTTGTTACTATATTTTGAAATTATAACTATAGTTAAATTTTATGCATGCAAAGGGAGACCAACATTAACTTCAAATAAGAAAAAAAATGTAATAAAAAATAAGAATGTACACCCACAATATAAAAATATTGTCATGACGAGGTGAATATGTAGCAAATAAAACAAGAGGATATATATATATATATATATATATAAAAGTAGGAGAGAGATTTGATATATATATATGTGTGTGTGTGTGTGTGTGAAATTAATGGGTATCCTTGTCAAGGGAGGGGATTTCCCTCCTTGACTCCTATGTGGTAGAATCCCACCATGGGAATAAAGTAGGAGAGAGAATTTACTTAGTGGGGATTGTGCCACATAGGAGTCAAGGAGGGAAATCCCCTCCTTGACAAGGATACCCATTAATTTCATATTATATATATATATATATATATATATATATATATTATGTTATATATAAGAGAGAGAGAGAGAGAGAGAGAGAGAGAGAGAGAGATTAATGGGTATCCTTGTCATAGGAGGGGATTTCCTCCTTGACGCCTCTAAAATCACATGATTGAGCGACATTGTGGATGATCCGCTCCGTTGAACTTGATCTACATATTCTAAAACCCCAACACACCAAGTTTGGGGTGAATCCGTCGTCGTTTGACCCTCCATCGAGCCATGTGAAAAGTTCTATTCATTCAAAACCGTTAAAATTGATACGAGTGGATGAAGGGTCAAACGACGACGGGTTCACCCCAAACTTGATGTGTTGGGGTTTTAGAATATGTAGATCAAGTTCAACGGAGCGGATCATCCACAATGTCGCTCAATCATGTGATTTTAGAGGCGTCAAGGAGGAAATCCCCTCCTATGACAAGGATACCCATTAATATCTCTCTCTCTCTCTCTCTCTATATATATATATATGATTTTTTTCAAATATATATATATATATGATTTTTTTCAAATAAGCCAATAAAATATTTAATTAGCAAAATAGGTCAACTTTGACTAAAAGTTGCTCTATTTTGCTAATTAAATATTTTTTCGGTCTATTTTGCTAATTAAGTTTTGAAAGTGGTCTATATCAAAGATTTGTCCTCAAGAATTCTCTACTTTGAAGATAGAAGTTACATTGCTATATAATAGGAATTACCTATTCAGAAAATATCTTTCGGATGCTTTTGCCATGTGAAAACAGTAAATGGGTTGATAGAAAGAGTAAATTAGTAAGGGAGTGATTGGCAATGATCATCAATATTTTAAAGTAAATGCTTGGAAATGCTTCTTTTATGCTCAAAGATAAATTATGGTGCCGGCTGGACTAGGATAACTGTCTTTTCTTTAAGGGTCTTTCTCTATAGTAATATTGTTATTTTTTATCATGCGATAATATATGCTTTTATGTCTTTGTAGATAACTATGTCAGCAGTTAGGGAGTGGGCGGCGTCCCAGGATGCTGAACTTCTCAAGGTCAATGTTCTTAGGCCCTCAAATTAATAGTGAATTCATTTGTATAGTCTCCTTTTAAGTACCGAGAATTAATATCTGGTTGCAGGCAGTAGCAGTAAACAACTTAGGAAAGTGGAAAACAGCAACACAGATGACTGCATTGACTATCCTTTTGGCTACCAGAGACCCCAGGTTCAAAAACCATTTCATCTGAATGTAGATTATCCTACGCTTTATATGACAGTAATGAGTATCAAATGACGTTAAGAGGGGATTCTCTCATATTCTGGCCAAACCTTAGCCACCTGATGAGGGTCGAGTCAAGCAATTAAGAAAGAGCCCATTTTATTCACTTGGTTGAGACTCAAACTCAGCCATGTCACTGTATGTGACAGAATCCCCTCATATGTCATGTAATACTCATTATTCTCTACTTTATATTTAGGTATATCTATTATATTCGATCTTATTTATGCTATTGAATCTGCAGTCTAGCAGGGCGCGCTCTTTTAGTTGCTTCTGGTGTTGTATTGCTGTACATATCTGCTGCTCTTGCCCTGTGGTCGCTGGCGGTGTACATGAGGAAAATATCGGGAGTGTTGCTTAACTAACGGTATTGGATAAATAAAACTGGCCAAAGGTGTGAGCTCCTGGACATCTGTGATTTTGGTCTACTTCGTCATTCTTTCAGAAAGCCGACTCATGAAGTGATGAAGACGAAAACAACGTTTACCGTTGTTCTTGGAGAAGCAAATTTGAAGCTTTTTGATTTTTGAATTCACGACGAGAGGTACCCGGTGTCTCTCTCTCATTTTGGAGAAATTCTGTACGGATACTTGAGTTTTGGAAGTTTGTTTGGTTTCTAGGAGGTAGTTGCTATAGTTAGATATACAGAAACCACATAATGGTGTATATTCAAGACCTAAGTTGTGAAACCTTGCACTATATAAACTAACATTTATTATGAAGAGTTATGTTCTTTTTTTTTTTCCTTTTTGGACAATTGACTTAATTGAGTAGAAAACTTGTCTAACAAAAGAATTGAAAAAGAAATTCTGCAATTTTGTATTTGTAAATTTTAGTATCTTTTGCGCATTTGGTATCCTCTAAAGATGCTAGCTCCTAACGCATTGACATGTTGAAACTTTATGTATAACTAGGGATGCATAAATCACAATGTTACTGAGAGGTATTTAACGCGTAGGCTTAACATTGATCAGCTTTTTGATACTGACTTGAACTTCAGCAGTAGCACTGTTAAATCTTTTTAGTGTAATTATTTACTGAAACTCACTGGAGTACACAAAATTATGGGAGTACAAATGGACAAGGACATAGCTGGAGGACAATAAGAGCATCCTAAAAATATATCACCACCATTAACCACCTGGAATAGAGAGATATTTGAGCATAAGTTTTCTATATGCCTGCTGATCACTACTTAAAAGACGGTGTACCATCATAATAATTTTACATCCAGAAGATCTGCAGCACTCAGAATATTAGTTTATCGACGGAACTTATTTCTTATCAAGAAAAAATGCCAGCAAAAGTTGGGAATTTTAATCACACGTGACAACCCATGCAACCTCGAACGTGAGATACTCGTATCATCAGTTACGAAATATATTGCTACAGATGCCCTTGCTGTGTTCAGTCAAGAGTTTAAACCAGCAAAAACTATCTCTGAATCACTAATACATCCTCAGAAAAACATGTAAGTTGCAGTTTGTGGTCATCTATTACATGTCCTGGTCAACTTCATTCGCAACGACAAGCTCCAGATGATAGTCTAGACCTAAACATGGCACACAATAGATGCGAGAGCTTAGATAATGGCTAAAATTAGAGAAGCAAAGCATAATTTTACAACAACATAGTTATAAACTCTGAAACATATCATACACCCTGAAGCCACTTACTCGAAAAGCAGCATTATCCAGAGACTTTCAACCAAACTTAGCACTGCAGAGTTAGGCCTCTTCTTTGGCCTCAGCAACCTCTGCTTTCTGATTTACAATGGAAAAGGTAACCAATGATGAGAAGAATTTTTTTGGGATGTAGAATGAATTGTGTTGCAACTTAATACAATAGAAAGACAAATCCTTACCAGTTCAGAATTAGCTTGTTCACTGGCTTCAGATGCCGCATTAGGTGTTCCTGAAAACCTGTACAACATAAAAATTGGCAATAAGGCACTTTTAAAGCCCATAATGGTAGAAAGGCAGGGGTTAAGAAGTGCTACAATACCAACCTCAGGGCTCTTGCCTTTCTCTTTTCTTCTTCTTCTGGAGTAACCGGTATTGGACTTGCTGAAAACCTTTCTAGACGAGCTTTCTTTTTCGATTCTTCTTCAGTTGGTGACTGTCCAGTAAGCCCAAACCTGAGAAATGACAAAAGAGGCCTCAAAGCTTTGTCTAATATGCAAATTACATAGTAATCACTGAATTTTCTAAGATGAAAATAATGATCGGAAATTTTGTCAGAGAAGTCAAATAGGAACCTCTCAGCCCGGGCCTTCCTTTTATCCTCCTCTAGTTTGTGAGAATTATTTTTCTCGGATGAGGCCGATCCAGTACCAAACCTGCTAGCAATTACATCATCACACGGTAAGGCTTCAGGTAAAATGAAAAGTTTAAAGTTACATAAAATAAGTCATACTAAGCCTCGAGATTATCCACCAAACCAAACCAATTATCAATTGAAGTAGTTTTAAGATGAAAATATACCATGTCTCATGGGAAGAACCTAAGCTTTATCAAGTGCCATAATGCTTGAATAGGAGGGGGGGGGGGGGGGGGTGTTACTAACTCCTGTTTGCCACTTTTTGCATGATGTGATGTGTAAATAGTTACTCAAATAGTTACTCATAAGTACAAAACACACATGTCACATATTTTTCCAACTTCCAAGCCGGGAACACCTAGATGAAACTTTGCCCTGTTATGCCGATCATTTTGTTATCATATGAGGCACTGCTAAGAATGTTGAATAATAAGTAAATGAATAGGTCTACAACAATAAGTAAATAAACAAACTCAAAACTTTGCACCTATTAACAATCAATAACTGGAGTTGTCCTTTCATATAGAGCCAGCAAATTGATGGATAGATCAGAGCTATGAGAGCAACAACAACAGAGAAAAGACAACAAACTAACTAGGGGTGCTTACATCTACCAAATGTAAGGGCGGACAACTAGGTTTCAGTTTTCACATCAACCACGCGAGAAGTTTTGTTTCTTATTTTGTTTCAAGAGAAAAGACATATATTCAGTGTTGCATTGATTATTACTACATATAAGCATCCATAAATACATATTTCATTTATGCATGTGTATATATGATATTATATGTATTTCTAGATGATACTTTTTGTTTCAAATAGATGAAGTAATAATTTAGAATTACCTAACACATTCATTTTTTAATACAAACCTTCTTTTCTACTCCAGTCTGTTTCAATGAAAGCTGACTGATAAAACAGGCTGTAACACCATTAGTCTAGCCAAGAAATGAACAATTCATATTGATAACTGCTACATTGTGTTTTCTTAGCATGTATCAAAGAGATCCCCACTGAAAATGAAGGTATACGAACAGATCTACTTTGGTTGCTCTTTGAGTCGAAATGGTGCATTTAATGCAGTCCAATTTGTTTCTGGGTTCTGCCTACTATGACTAGGAACATGTGCTTGCTACTCTTTGTGCCTAAAAACTTCAACACTACCGGATATGCATTGAAGTTTAACCCACAATGGGGTATCATAACCCCCACAAAGAAAATGTTTTCATCAATTAATGGCTTCAAGTCATGCAACTGGATCATGTCTAGTTATCATTGACTAATTAACTCTAATAAATGTTCGTTTTAACTCTTAACCAGTTGTCTTCTCAAAAGCTCAAAGTAATCCTTTAAATACATGAAAATATGATCGTGGTGGCAGGGAAAGGTAGTGACTGTAACAAAGGAAGTGTCGCATAGCCTCATCATCTTTGATTCTATTGGCAGCCCTCCTCTCATCACCATCAACACCTCTCTACCCCCTCTGTCTTCCTTTGTTTAATTTTCTCTTATTATTGGGTAAAACCATATAACAAACCAAATCTTAAATAAAGGTTTGTTAGTTTTTTACCTAGTTATTTTCCTAACAAAAGTCAATAAAAAGGAATCTAAATGACAGATAACCCATAGGGGGGAAAGTTCTTTCTTCTATTCACTTTCCGTCTGGGTCACCTTCCTTACATGGTCATGCACACATGGAATCTGGTACTTTGATGCTGGTAAAATTGTTCCTAGATTTTTAGTTAAGTAATATCACGCCCTGAGCACATGGGACTCTTGGCGTGATGTAAACCCCGTGACCTACTGAGTGCAATACATGGTTTGACTCAATCTACTACCTAAATTGACTAGTCAATGTTGCAATTGACTCTCAAGTGCTTGTGACCTACTGAGTGCAATACGTTGTTTGGCTCAATCTACTACCCTCTTAAACTCTATCAATTTCCCGTCATAGGACTATTAGTGGGGCATCACAATCACTCCACCTTTAATAAGTGATTGGATCGTCATGGCATGATAATTAACACATCTCAGTATTGCCACTACGCGATGCAGACTCTAGAGGTAGCTCCTATAAATTCTAGAGGTGGCTTCTACTATGCTCATGTGACATAGTACTTGGTCCGGTATAGCACTTAATTCCACATTTCTGACTGGCTAAATACTTTGATACTATTGGCCACGTTCTGGACCCGCGAGCCTGTTGGCGCAATGTAAACCCTAAAACCCATAGAGTGCAACACATGGTTTAACTCTATCCACTGTCAAAATTGACTATATGATATTATATGTATTTGTAGATGATACTTTTTGTTTCAAATAGATGAAGTAATAATTTAGAATTACCTAACGCGTTCATTTTTTAATACAAACCTTCTTTGCTACTCCAGTCTGTTTCAATGAAAGCTGACTGATAAAACAGGCTGTAACACCATTAGTCTAGCCAAGAAATGAACAATTCATATTAATAACTGCTTACATTGTGTTTTCTTAGCATGTTTCAAAGAGATCCCCACTTGAAATGAACGTATACGAACATATCTATTTTGGTTGCTCTGAGTCGAAATGGTGCATTTAATGCAATCCAAATTGTTTCTGGGTTCTGCCTACTATGACTAGGAACATGCGCTTACTACTTTTTGAGCCTAAAAACTTCAACACTACCAGATATGCATTGAAGTTTAACCCACAGTGGGGTATCATAACCCCCATGAAGAAAATGTTTTCATCAATTAACTGATTCAAGTCATGCAACTGGATCATGTCAAGTTATCATTGACTAATTATATTCTAAATAAATGTTTGCCTTAACCAGTTGTCTTCTCAAAGCTCAAAGTAATCCCTTAAATACCTGAAAATAGGATGGTGGTGGCAGGGAAAGGTAGTGATTGTAACAAAGGAAGCATCCCATAGCCTTATCATCTTTGATTCTATTGGCAGCCCTCCTCATCACCATCATCAACACCTCTCTACCCCCTCTATCTTCTTTTGTTTTATATTCTCTTATTATTGGGTAAAACCATTTAACAAACCAAATCTCAAATAAAGGTTTGTTAGGTTTTTACCTCACATTTAGAAATGTGAGGATATCTTTAGGCTATATATGTATTTTCTATTATTTTCCTAACAAAAGTCAATAAAAAGGGATCCAAATGACAAGTAACCCACATGGAAAAAAGTTCTATTCACTTTCCTTCTGGGTCATCTTCCTTACATGGTCATGCACACCTGGAATCTAGTACCTTGATGCCGGTAAAATTGTCCCTAGATTTTTTTTGTTAGGTAATATCACGCCCCGAGCACATAAGCCCCTTGGCGCGATGTAAACCTTTGACCTACTGAGTGCAATACGTGGTTTGACTTAATCTAGTACCCAAATTGACTAGTCAATGTTGTACTTGACTCTCAAGTGTCTGTGACTTACTGAATGTAATACGTGGTTTGGTTCAATCTACTACCCTCTTAAACTCTATCAATTTCCCAACATAGGACTATTAGTGGGGCATCACAATCACTCCACATTTTATACGTGATGAGATCGTCATGCAATGATAATTAGCACATCTCAGTATCGCCACCAGCGATGCACTCTAGAGGTGGCTCCTATAGAGATGGCTCCCACTACGCTCATGTGATGTAGCACTTAGTCCGGTATAGCACTTAATTCCACATTCTGGCTGGCTAAATGCTCTGATACTATTTGTCACGCCCTGGGCCCACGAGCCAGTTGGCGCAATGTAAACCCTAAAATCTACTAACTGCAACACATGGTTTAGCTCTATCCACTTCCAAAATTGACTATTCAATATTGCACTTGACTTTCAAGACCTAACGTGTAAGCCCTCTTAAATTCAATCAATTTTCTAATGTGGTATCATTAGTGAGGCATCACTATAAAATTACAATGATTTGTTAAGTCTAATCCAACAATCTAAAGACGCATCAGCTAATCTCATGTGATCATCCAGAGCTAGATGCTCCTTAGCGGTACGATCTCTTCTCTACCAAATCCTAGTATGTAAGGAAGATGACCTAGAGTAAGCTCATCCAATAATAATAATGATAATGGAGAAAGTTATGAGGGGGAGGAAAGTGAGCATAGGAAGGAAAGTAGATTTTTTTTCCTTGTGTGGTATCTGCAATTTGGATATATTTTTATTGACTAATAAGTACGTGTCAAGAAAATAACATGAAAGAGATATCTTAGCCTAAAGAAATTCTCACATTCCTAAACATGAGGGAAAACCTAATAAACCTTTATTGAAGATTTGGTTTATTATACAACTTTACCCAACACTCATCACTTGAACATTCATAAGAAATCACACATCCTCAATATCAGATGTCTGTTATATGATCTCGACCTCCTAAATTACACTTTCTTGAGAACAATGCTGAAAGATTAATGTAACTCGTCATACTTCACCATGGAAATTCCTCTCTTATTACAACAGCCCTTATGGCCAACTTCCCTAAAATGAACATTCCTTCCTCAGGTATGCCTCCATCAAATCAAACATTGATCTCAACGATTTCCTTCAACGATCTATTTGGTTTCATAATCTCCAACTTTCTCAATATCCTATACATCTGGCATTATAATTCATCATCTAAACTTTGCCCTTTTGAGATCTTTCATGTAATCCATTTGCATGGCCTTCAGCTATATCATATATATCTAAAATAAATAAATCTAAACAATATTCCTCAGGAAAATTAAATTTACATAGTTTTTTTTAAATATCTATCTAATTGAACCACAAAGAAATCAAAAAAGGGATCGAGAACCTCACCGCTCCGCACGAGAACTGCGCTTCTCCTCTTCAGAAAGCTGAAACGGGACCCCAAACCTCTCAGCGCGTCGCTGCTTCTTCTCGATATCGCAGATCTCCGAGGCCGCCGGCTTCGCGTCCGTGGGTTCCTCGCTTCCGCCGCCATCGCCGCGGCGTCTCGCTGTCTGCTCCGCCTGAGGCGGGAGAGAAGGTGAGGGGGTAGGAGAGGAGGACTCTTTGGACGGTTCTAGGGTTTTGTCGAGGGTTTCGATTAGGGGTTCTTGATGAGACTCCATGAGATTTTGAGGAAGCGAGAGATGGGAGTGTGGACTCCGAAGGGAGTGGATTCGGCGTGCGGATCTTTGTTTCTGCTGTTCCGGCGGTACATGATAAGATATTTCATTTTTTTAAGGCCCATTAGCATTCATCCGTTAGTTGACTCAGGCTACGGGCCCAATAGCGCCCGTGCTATTCATTCTTTGTTTTCTGGATTATTCTTTAAAAAATACATAATATAGTTTCATCTTTTTTATGTGTCTAAGTTGTATTATATTAAACTTAAAATAAAATGTTTTCGTGTTTTGATATTTTGATTGTTTTTTAATAAATAGACATCAATAGTTCGAGAATATTCAAACTAAAAAATAGAGATAAAATTCAAAACTCTTGTGCTTATATGCAATATGTGAAAAATAAATTTAGAAGATCTTCGAGCCACGTTTGAACGTCGTCCAGATCAATCGCTATGAACTGTTTTATTTATTAGGCTAAATATTCCTAAACTTTAGGAGTTATTGCACAAACTCCCATGGGTTGTTTTATTTTTCTAGCTCTCACCTGAAAATTCAGGTTCGATTTTCATACTAGCATCATCAGCTTTAACCCGTCACCGGTTAGCACAAGATAAAAATTGTTGAAAACTTCCTTTATAGTCTAAAAAGGCTCTTTTATTAGAAAGGAAAAAATTACCAATTTTTTGAGACTAAGGAATTATTTTCATATTTTTTCACATATGCTCGCCGTATGAGATGTTAGAATCGATGATGCTAATTTAGAGATTAAATGAGAAATTATCATGTGAATTTTAGTAGTTTATGAGGTTTAGTATGATTACAAAACTTCACATAGGTTTAGTGTAAATGGGCTGTTTGTTTGCTCAAAAAAAAAAGAGAAATGGATGATTTGAAATCTGACAACAGCGCCACATAGGATTTTGATTTCAAGACATTTCAATTACCCGTGTTTGGTTCACTGTGTGATTTAAAGAAATGAGGGGGGTGAAATGAGGTGTCACGTCAGCTTTTGTAGAAAACCCATTTTCAGACCAAAATGCTGAAAGGGGTGAGAATGTCACTTCAAGCAAATTTTAATTGCTCAAACCACTATTGAAACAGCGGCTGAGATTAAAATATAATATTTAATTGCTCAAAGCACTATTGAAGCGGCGGCTGAAATGATATTTCTTAATTTTTAGACGTTCAAACAAACCCAAGAAATGAGAATCCTTCTAGCCTATGATTTCAATGTGAAACAAACCAAATAAATCAAATGGGGGGAAACCCTCTGAAATGTCCAGAAATGGTTTTCAAACATTGTTTTCTGTTTTTTTTCTAGATATGTACCAAATAGCCCCTAACTGAAAAGGTCGATATGAATTCACTGCAACTCCCCACAAGTTCAGAGGGCATTATCTAATTAACCCCCTAACAAAATTAACCTTATAGCTTTGAACGAGGGACAAAATTTCAAAACAGTTCCATTTACAAAAAAAAATTCCTATAAAACGACCCATTTTGAAAATAATCGTCAAAACCGACCTAGTTTCAGCCGTCGGGCTGAAACTAGATCGTATCTGACAAAAAAAACTTTGAAACTTCACGGACTTGAAGTCCCGTGAAGTTTAGCAGCCATTTAATTAAGCTGCGTAACTTCACGGGACTTCAAGTCCTATGAAGTTTCAAAGTTGAAAAAAACTTCACGGGACATGAAGTCCCGTGAAGTTTGAGTTGAATTTCCAGAATCCGAGGCTAGCGAGGCAGGAGAGGGAAGGAGGGATTGGGCTGGTGAACTCCTTGAGGTTGCTGAGATCAAGAACGTGGAGGTGGGTAAGGTCGTCGATAGAAGGAGAGATCGTGCCCGACATAGAAGTGTCGAGAGGGAAGTCGTCGGGGCGGTCACCAAGGCCAGGGCGAGTGAGGTTAACAACGTGGCCGGTGGAGGGATCACAGGTGACGCCGTCCCACTTGCAGCAGTCGTCGGTAGAGGCATTCCGTGTGCTGAGGAGACCCGACGAGTCGGAAGTGATGCTGGACTTGACAGCTAGGAGGGCCGAGCAGTCGACAAGGTCGCAAGCAGAAGATGGGTAGACGACGAGAGTGGAGAAGTAGAAGAAGAGGCCTAGAATGTATGGGACGAAGAGATTGGGAGCAGCCATTGATTGATTGGAGGGGAGGATGATTAATGAGTCGATGAGAGAGAGAGAGAGATGTTACTTGATATGAATATGCGATTAACACACACACTTCACGAGACTTCAGGAGAAGGAAAATTTGACTGAAACTTCACAGGACTTGAAGTCGTGGAGTTTGGGCACATTAACAAACTTCACGAGACTTTAAGTTCCATGAACTTTATTTGAACTATGAAACTTCACGGGACTTCAAGTCCCGTGAAGTTCAGTAGCTTAGTTAAATGATTGCTAAACTTCACGAGACTTCAGTTTTTTTTTGTCAAAACCGACCTAGTTTTAACCCGACGATTGAAACTATGTCGGTTTTGACTTTTTTTTTCTTCAAAATGAGTTGTTTTTTGAGAATATTTTTGTAAATGAGACTGTTTTGAAAATTAACCCTTTGAACGGATCAAACGGAGTAGGTAATCAGTAAATTCATCCTTCCCATAATTTTTATACCATCTCCTCCCCTCCATCGACTTCTTTTCGATCATCGAAACGAGAGAGAGAGAGAGAGAGAAAGAGTCGTCGATTTAATAAATCGTCTCTCGCGCGCTTAGGGTTTCCGTCGATCCTCGAGATCTCAGCCAGTTCCGATCTGATTTCCATCGGATTCGGTAGGGTTTCGGTCCTATTCCGGCGAACTGAGACGGCGGCGGGCGTCAGTTTGGGGGGTTCTCTCCAATTCTCCGGCGTTGGAGGGATGGAAATGGCGTCCACTGCTAAGGTACTTGCTGTTTGGTCGATAGCGCTTCGGTTAATTCAATTAGTTTCTAATTTAGTTCGGATAGTTTGGTGGAGTGAAGGCTGTGGATTGACTTAAGAAGAGAATTGAAAACTGAAGCTGATGAATTTGGGCAAAATCAAGTCTTTTGGGGTTTGCAATTGCTTTGTTAAGTTGATTTTGCTACTATTTACTGGCGAATGGTTACTTCAATTTGAGAGCTTGAAGGTTCTTGTCTGTGAAGGCAATTTTGCTACTATTTACTGGCGAATGGTTACTTCAATTTGAGAGCTTGAAGGTTCTTGTCTGTGAAGGCAGAAAAAATGTGGGAAAACGGCGAATGGTTACTTCAATTTGAGAGCTTGAAGGTTCTTGTCTGTGAAGGCAGAAAAAATGTGGGAAAACGTGATTAGGTTTGCGTTAGGAATACCTTAACTTGATTGGCTATGAAATTATTGTCTCTCTCTGTAAATATTAGATGTGTTTTGTGGTATAGCTATGTTTTTCTTTACTTGATTAGTAAAATTGCATGCATGGTTACTAATGGATGTGAATAAGTATTAGCAAACTTACAAATATGAAATGTTTAGATTAGATGAAATGGACCGAGCATTGAAACATGTAAGGTGGTTGCTAATCTAACGAAGGTAGGCTTCGACAGAGAAGGAGCACGGAAATATGATTCGGTCACTAGCCACCAAAAGATTTGAGATGCAACATTTATGACGGTCGTTGATAGAGCAATAAAGTACAGAGTCTTTCGTGGGAGAGAAGGGAAGGTTTATTTAGTGCCGGAAAGTTGATTCGAGGATAGCCAAATAATATGTAGAATGAAATGGGTGAACATAAGGTGAACATAACAAGTGGATTCTTTTGGTTGTGCACTTTTTCAAAATAAGAGGATTATGATATGTACGGTTAAGCAACTGTGACGGAATGTGAGTGTTGAAAGAGCTGTATTTGTAAACTCTTCAACCCAGCTTAAGATTGGAGCATGAATGAGTGGTTAGTTGTAAGGAATGCCTTTAAGGGAGATTGGCCAAATCTTTATAGAGCAGTTCCTAGTATTGTTATCATTTTTGGTCATTGTAATGTTTTTGCCTTGCAAAATTTTGTTTATAAGAAACCAGGTGCTAGAAAAAGGCAGATTAAAGAGTCAGCTTTATCCTGTATTCGTTTCATTGTTTGGAATTTGGAGTTTCTTTTGTTGACTTTATTTGGGTTCATTCGAGGTAGTTGCTACTTGGCAGAATCTTTCGCTAGATGACTGCTAAAACTCAAAATGCCTCACTAGCGAATCCCTGTTTTAAATCACACTCGTGGATTATGTCTACTCATGATCTTCCTTATCACGGGAATGCTTTATCATCACTCTTAGTTCTCTTCCTGGAATTTGCCAACTGTTGATAAATGTTTAGTTCTTTTACTGCATTTATTGTTTTTGAAATAATTCCTGATCTCATGTTTCTGAACGCTTACCACTTTTACTTTCTCTTTTTTGTGTTTGAAGTATTAATATCTGTTCGTCTTTCCCTCAGGATAAGCTGGTGTACTTCAGAATAAAAGAGCTTAAAGATGTTCTGACACAACTTGGTCTCCCGAAGCAAGGCAAGAAACAGGTCAGCAATTGGAAAGTTCCATTCTATATTGTTTAATGTGTACATTGAGCTACATGCCAATCCTGTTAAGCTCCGAAATAAAGAGTGTAGATTTTTTTACCTAGGGGCTCAAGGAACCATGTTAGCATTAGGGCCTGGAGAGGGGGTCCAAAACATGATGTCAGCTTTAAATCAAAGATTCCACTTTCTTGTGAAGGGAAAACTTGTTTAAAGACTATGTGTGCACAATTTATTAGTTTTCCTATGGCCATCATCTAAGTTCCATAGTTCCATCTTGTAATAAATTAATGTTCACTGCATTTTTCTCCGATTTGCAGGAACTAGTGGATAAAATTTTATCGTTGCTCTCTGATGAACAAGGTACTACATTACTCTTTTTCTGTCTGTTCTGTGAAATGAGCATTGCTATTATTAATGCTGTCCTATGTTCTATATCTGGATCGTCACATCCAAGCATTGTTCAGAGATTCCTATGAATTGGCACGTCCCCAGAGTGTCTTTATTTCCAAAGTGTTAGTTGGATTCATATTTCTTATAGGTTCATAATGTAATTATTGTGACTTGTGGGAATTTTTACTTTGTTTCATATCATTTTTAGTTGTCATTATTTGTTGTTAATGTTTGAGCATTATTATAGTCATTTATTTGCACTAGTTTCCTATGTTCCTTTTAGTCACTGTAGATATCTAAAGATTTTGTGGATATAAAAAAAATGTTAATTTCTATTATGTTATCTCATTCTCTATTTAGTTTGATTCTATATTTAAAAAAATGATAATTTCTATTATATCATGTTTGATTGAATTTAGTTTGATTAAGGTTTACTGGTACCCATGTGATTTAATCATAGAATTGGCTAAGCTTTTGAGCTGTGTTCAGGGGCTTGCGGTCATATACATTTTCAATATTATCATAAGAGATAAGGAAAAGCAATAAACATGATTGCTGTTTAGGTTCTTCTCTTCTCTTCTTCTTTTTTCTACTTTTTCTTAGTAGCTTGATGACAATCTGTGTCGTGGTTTGATGTATATTTGTAAGTGATTAACTAGTTGCTTATATCAATTACAATATCTGCTGTCAGACATCAACAACTGTAATTTAAGAATATATAACCGAACAATTGAAAAAAAGCATAGTATAAGTTGGATTATTATTATTTTTTTATCATGGTGAGTTCCGGAGTCGGGTAGCAGTCAGTCTCTACAGCATATTGAAGACATAAAGGAAACGCATTATTGCATCTAAATATATTATTATTGTTTTCCGAATCTCTGTCGACCAATTTATATATGCTATGTTCATATTACCAATCCAAGACCATTTCATGATTATGTTATCTGTGATAAGATCAATACTTATAATTGCAACAGTGGTGTACTGAGTCGACATATCCCACCAATGTTTAAATAGGTTTTGTGGCTAAGAGATAGTGAAACATGATGACTTTCCAGTTCATATATCCGAGTATTCTATTGTGGCCAAACATTCTCATATATGGAATTTTATAAATATTCTTCCATTATAAGGGCTACGTTGCTAGCTCCGACACACTCGTATTCGTAGTGCTTCGTTGTGGGAGTATTATCTTTAGGGCTGTGAAAATTATGTGTATCCTCACCTATGTTATCTGGGTACTTCTATTTGAAGCCATACCCGTGCTTGGCATGTACCCGTGCCTGAAACTTCTTGGACATTTCTTGAAAATATATGCATATGTTAATTCAGGTGTTTGCTCAATTTTATAATACATTATTCATTTAAACATCTGTTACACACTTATTTTGATGTAAATCTTATACCTAACATCCACTTCTTGAAAATTGTTGACCATGGGTCAGGTTTGTTTTACCCCGTACCCGTTGCAGAATTATGATTTTAAAGGCCTGTGTGGTTATTGAGTTCAAAATTAGCAGTTTTCCAATTTATAATCTACATAAATTTAAACATAATAATATTATATGAATTTTAATTCTCATAACACGTGCATGAAAAAACAATATTGATCTCATGTAATTCTTAATTTTAATAATATAAATATAAGTATACATACATTTATAGCGTCGCCTGTGTCCTCTACACTACCTTTCACAAATTTTCTGTCTCCCTTACCCGTTTCCATACAACTTAGATCCTCACTGTACAAACACTGTTGCATGGAAACATTCATACTCACTAGCATGGACTAGTATGAGATTCCAGTGTAAGTCCTCAACATATCCCTGATTGGTGGACTCAGAGATAAAACACTTGTCTCCTACACTGCAAGCAACTCTTAAGTTGCTAACTTGCTATTATCATTGTAACACTCACTTAAGTGTGTTTAGTTATGGGGTCTTTACTAGCATTTTCCTTCAAATTTCTAGCTTGTTTTAAACCTGAGTTCATCAGAAATAGCCTTGATGTAATGTGTTGGATCCACGTTGTTGTTGTGTCACACTTCCCTTGTGTATTATGTTGCTTCACACCAGTGGATACTCATCTCATGCCTGATGTCTTTTAATTGTTAGAAGGCAGTGTGTAACTAATAGTGGTAGTCCTCACAGATTCTAGAGCGGCGACCCTTACTCATGTTATATGTCAGTTAATCCTTTACACTAACTTACTGGGATGCACTTACACAAGTTACCTCAAATACCATTTGCAGTGTGAGACGTTATTTGTCCTAGTACAACTTTGGATCAACCATACTCAATCCCATAGTTATCAGAATTTCTCCCTGGGAACTTGCAATTATGATTGACGTTTGAGTTAGGTGGAACTATTCTATTACAAAAACTTCGTGGATTTTAATGTGGATTATCCACTCAAGATTCGTGATATTTGCACCCAAGCTTGCCAGGTGTAACACATAAATGTGTAGATATTTAATAACAAGCGATGTGAATTAACAAGAGGAGCTCAGCTCAAGTGATATCACTATTTCCTCCCATCCCTAGTGAATGAGAGCGTTCTAGTGCCCCGGGGGCTTCTTGTTCCATTTACAGTAGGAGTTGTTTGTGCCTTCTTGGGAATTCTTCATAGGAAGTTTTACGTCGTAAGTTTGTGGTCCTTTTTCCCAGAAAAAGGTGATGTGGGATATTGGAAATTGCCTGACAGTAGCCTCATATGATATGATGCGGCTCTTAGTTCCATTGTGGAACACATACTTTTCCACACTTCCTGGCTCCAGCAACTGGAGTGGGCTTGTGCATGTCCAATACCTCCGACTTGTCAAGTGGTCAGCCTCCCTAATCTTAGTGTTATGTAAGCACACCGCATTATGAAGTCATTTTCCATGTTTACTCCCCTGAAGATTTTAGGTGTCGTTACTGTATGATACTACATGTGATTTTGTCTTTAGAGGTATATTTGCAATTCATTATGTATTGCATGCCTGCCATTCCTAATTATAATTCCTGGGAACTATAACCCAGAGCTCATAAACATCTAAATATATCCAATTATCCATTATGATGAGTTTTATACCTTGCAGCAGGTTCAAGGTCACACTCTTGG